CTTTTGGTCTTTTTGAGACAGGGTCTCCCTGTAGCCCCAGCTATCCTGGAACTCACTATGTAGAAGGCTGGCCTTGAACTCACAGAGATCGCCTGCCTCTGCCTCCCAAGTGCTAGGACTACAGGCGTGCACCACCATGCCCGGCTTGGATCTTCTTTTAAGGTAGCACATTTATAATCCCACCTGGTTACCTCCCTCTACCAATCCACCAAATATTCAATTCAACCAGGGTCTATGTTTTATCAGCTTCTAAAATTCTTAACAAATAACTGTATTGTCTATACCTCCTAAAAGGTTTTTAAATAAAAGGGCATTTCCACTTTTAATAGATGTCATCAAAGGTTCTAGGATCTTCTTTTAAGGTAGCACATTTATAATCCCACCTGGTTACCTCCCTCTACCAATCCACCAAATATTCAATTCAACCAGGGTCTATGTTTTATCAGCTTCTAAAATTCTTAACAAATAACTGTATTGTCTATACCTCCTAAAAGGTTTTTAAATAAAAGGGCATTTCCACTTTTAATAGATGTCATCAAAGGTTCTATTTAACTTAAATAATAATTTATAAACACAAACTAAAATCATACCAATTTATAAGAACTAGAACCTGAAATGAATCCCTCAGATGACGGTTCTGTGCTATGTTGATACACTCATACTAACTGCCGGCTTTTAAAATCATTTACTCTATTCCCATCTTTACTTAGCATGACTATAACACTGCCACATATACAAAGTAAGCTGTTTCTTATTCTTCCTATGTAACTTACTTGTTACATATCTATAAAATGAGGCTTTTAAAAAAATTTCCAGAGCCTAATTTAGGCACTCTCTAAGTACTCCAGAATGCAAGATTGTTTGTCAAGATATATACAACACGTGACATGACCCCACTGCGATACTAATTATAAAGTCATGTTCTCCATGAGATACAAGGCAAAAACTTTCTTTAGAAGGGTTGAAGAACGCAACATGCATTTCAGACTCTTTCCTTACAAAATTTATAAGAAAAATTCAAATTATATTTTTATGACACACAAGTGACAATGTGTGTGACCCATAAAGTAAATTCATGTAAATAGAATATTACTTTTGAGGGAAACTATTAAAAGGGTGTTAAGTTCCTGAAAAGTATGCACCCTACAGGTCTACTTTGAGTCCTTCAACCAGTTTAGCTAGTCTTCCATTAAAAGACTATTATTTTTCACATAAATAAAATAATAATAACACCTAAACATATTAAAGCCCTGAGTCCCAGAAACACTCAGCATTAAAACCAAACGTTTCCTTTTGTATTAAGACTCAGTATTTAGCATTCATATGGGAGTTAGCAGTACAAAACAGAAATCTGACAATATTACTTGAATCCATGTCAAGTATACTCACAGCACTCATCTACATCTACACTTGCAAACTGTCACATGATCAATGATAACAAAAAGGAAAGTTTGGCACATATATCATTTTCTCAAAATGTCCCTGTAACTTAACACCACACTGTTTAGAACAATGATTTCAACACCAATGTCAACCTGATTGGCAGCTAAACAAGGTGCTTTTTCTTGCAGCTTCACATAGTGTCTAGGTGCACCTTGCCTGGGACAGAGGCACGTAAGGTGCAGTGCAGTAGTGCAATCACTTGGGCACCAGAGGGCAGACTTTCCATGCAGTATGCTCAAGGCCTTCCCTAGGTTTTGACTTGCTAGGTCCACACATGTACAATTTCCTTTCCGCTGGTTGACAACGCCATTCCCAGGGAACCTGTACATCCATTTCCTTTTGTAAAGTAGACATTCTCTCAGAAGCCTCAAAGTGTGGCGAGGATCCTTGAAAAGGAGATGATCAGAGTCAATACAGTCTGCCCCACACCCCACACCAGCGCTTCCAGGGGGGCCATGTTCTTTCCAGCCACTCTGTAGATGCCCGCCACCGCTGCACCTGTGAAGAAAGCAGAACAAGGGTCACCAAGCGACTATCAAAAGGTTGCTTTTTACTTTAGCATGTTTAGCAGAATACCTCAACACTCATCCACATTTCATTTGACTGGTTAAATTACCTTTACTACATAGCATCAAACCACTGATGTGAAGAGCAGCTTTTTCAACTGAAAGCTCTATATAAATAGTCCATGCTGCACACACAATAGCTAGTATGTTCATAAAAATTAGTAATTTACTACTTTGCTATTTCTCCTGGACAATGTGCTGGGCGCTGACTAGATTCTTGGATTCAGATCCAAGTTATCCTACTCACCGTCTTGTGCCTCACCTGCTAACTGAAGGGTGAGCATGGAGGCTCTGAGGTCATACTGGAAAGTGCTTGGAAACAAGGGCTGGTCCTAGGACTCTGTCAACAAACCCTGTCTAGTAGTCACAAAGTAGAAATTCCTATCAGTGGCTCACAACTCAATAAATGGTGTTGGAACAAATGAATGGCCATTTGGAATGAATAATTAAAGTTACAACCTCACACCATTCCAGCACATGGACTAAAGAACAAAATGCTAAAGATAAAATCATCTTAAGACCACAAAAGAGCAAAACCACTTGCTGTCAAGACAAAGACTGAAAGAGCATCTGTGATCTGTAAAAGGAATGGGGCTCAGTATCCCAAACACACGCACCTATGCTTGTACAAACACAAATAAGGAGCGACGCAGCAGTGTTCACATGCGCCTATGCTTATAAAAACAAAAATAAGGAACAGCAGCAGTGTTCACAATCCAACAACAGAATCTATCATCTGAATGGTGAATTCGTACAGTTTCAAAAAGAAAATATAGATAAATAAGCAGACACAGAAAGAACTTAAGAGATATCATTTAAACAACAATAAAAATAATCATAAAACAATAAATATTCACAGCCAGTACTAATATGTGTATGTCTAGGCACAAGTATCTCTCATTATCACTCTTTCTGTGTGTGAATAAAGATAATGCATCAATAAAACTCTGGGGAAACCATGTTAAGACCAAATTAGGGATTTCTTCTGAGAAGAGCAGTGGATTGAGAATGCTAGTCAGGGACCTGACCTTATCTATGCTTCAAATTTAAATGTGTAATATAGCTGTACATTACATATGTAGTTAATGCTAACTTTTTTTTTTTTTGGTCTTTTTGAGACAGGGTCTCCCTATAGCCCCAGCTGTCCTGGAACTCACTATGTAGACCAGGCTGGCCTTGAACTCACATAGATCCCCCTGCCTCTGCCTCCAGAGTGCTGGGATTAAAGGCCTGCACCACC